TGGCGGATTTGCTCGCCTCAAAGGTTCACAGCAGCCCTCAGTTTGGCCACTTTTGTGGCTCAAATCTGCTGTTCACTCAGTTAGCCTCATCACTGGCCAGCATGGGGAAAAGGAAGAACAACAATCCCCCTCAGTTTCTGCTGATCCACCTAGTGGATCGGGGAACAGGCCAGAGATCTTCCCCTCTGGTGGAACCCACAGTCCAGGTCAACTCCTCCGGTATCAAGTAGGGAGTTGGGGGAATGGAGGGATGGAGGGAACCCGGTCCCGCCCTCTACTCCGGATTCCACCACAGGGCCCTGTGGATTGCAGCTGTCTACAGTGGTTCCTGTAACAGCTGCGTGACAGCTACAACTCCCTGGGCTACTTCCCTATGGCCTCCTCCCAACACCTTCTTTATTCTCACCACAGGACCTTCCTCCTGATTTCTGATAATGCTTGTACTTCTCAGTCTTCCAGTAGTACGCCTTCTCACTCTCAGCTTCTTGCACCTCTTGCTCCCAGCTCCTCGCACGCACACCACAAACTGAAGTGAGCTTATTTTTAAACCCAGGTGCCCTGATTAGCCTGCCTGTCTTAATTGATTCTGGCAGCTTCTTGATTGACTGCAGGTGTTCTAATCAGCCTGTCTGCCTTAATTGTTTCCAGAAAGTTCCTGATTGTTCTGGAACCTTCCCTATAACCTTACCCAGGGAAAAGGGACCTACTTAACCTGGGGCTAATATATCTGCCTTCTATCACTTTCCTATAGCCATCTGGCCTGACCCTGTCAGAATAGCTACAGCACTCAACCCACGGATTAAGAATCTGAAATGCCTTCCAAAATCTGAGAGGGACGAGGCGAGGAGCATGCTTTCAGAAGTCTTAAAAGAGCAACGCTCCGATGCGGAAACTACAGAACCCAAACCACCAAAAAAGAAAATCAACCTTCTGCTGGCGGCGTCTGACTCAGATGATGAAAATGAACATATGTTGCTCTGCACTACTTTGGATTGTTATTGAGCAGAATCCGTGGAGCATGTCCTCTGGAATGGTGGTTTGAAGCATGAAGGGCCATATGAATCTTTAGCACATCTAGCATGTCCATATCATGCGATGCCAGCTACAATAGTGCATGCAAACACCTGTTCTCACTTTCAGGTTACACTGTAAACAAGAAGCGGACAGCATTATCTCCTGCAAATTGTAACCAAACTTGTTTGTCTGAGCAATTGGCTGAACATTAATGGATTTGTAGGCTCTAAAGTTTTTTGTTTTATTTTTGAATGCAGGTTTTTTTGTACGTAATTTTACATTGATAAGTTCAGCTTTCATTATAAAGAGATTGCACTGCAGTACTAGTATTAGATTAATTGAAAAATACTATTTATTTTGTTTTTTACAGTGCAAACGTTTGTAATAAAAATAAATATAAAGTGAGCACTGTACACGTTGTATTCTGTGTTGTAATTGAAATCAATATGTTTGAAAATGTAGAAAACATCCAAAAAAAGATTTAAATAAACAGTATTTTATTGTTTAATAGCATGATTAATCACAGTTAATTTTTTTAATCACTTGACAGCTCTATGAGATTGTAAGCAATTTTTCAGTAATAGTGTACTGTGACACTTTTTTTTGTATTTTTAGGTCTGATTTTGTAAACCAGTAGTTTTTAAGCAAGGTGTAACTTGGGGGTACACAAGGTAAATCAGACTCTTGAAAGGGGTGCAGTCGTCCGGAAAGGTTGAGAGCCACTGGGCTAGGCTGCTGGATAGTAGTAGTAGAATGTTGAGCAACACTTTTTCAGCCAGACTGCAAGTTCACCCTGTGCCAGTCATGCAATTGGAGATGTCAAGACAATTTGTACACATAAATGTCTGTTTTCATGCAGGTTGGTCCTGGGATGCAAATTTCAGAGACAAGTTTTGAAAGTTTGGCCCAAAATGTTTGCAGCCACACAATTATGTAGCTGTCTTGTATGCTTTTAGAGGTCTGCCAAATGAATTGGCATGCCCCATCAGTCTTAGCAGGGTTTCAGCTTTTACCTCTAGTCATGACATAGTAACCTATAGACATTTTTGTCTTCAGTTGAAGCCATGTCATAGGTTACCAGAGAGCATCCTTTTGTTTAGCTGGTGTTTGAGAATGAGGCAAATCCAAGCTGTCGAAATGATTGAACTTGTCCAGCGTCTTACCTAACACTTATTTTTAGACGTATATGTTTCATTATGTACCAGCATACTCAGTAATTCCTCTTAGATGAAATTAGATTAAAATCTTCTGGTGTGCTCTGTTTAAACACTCTTCAAAGTCGGCTCACGGAGAACCGTGCTGAACAGATGGCCTTCCTACTTCCACTTAGCTCCAGCTTTACTTGGGATTTATTTATTTTGGTCTGTTGCTTAGGTTGGTAGCACCTATGCTCGTAAATACAGTGGCATTTCTCTTGACATAATCCTGTTAGTTTCTTTTGCTGCAGGTGACTCCCAAACTGCTTGTGATCAAGCTATCTCCCCCCCAACAGCTGATTCATAGACCTGTGTTCCCTCATGCACTATGGCCCAATGCAGTAGCTCTGATCCCTCCATTTCCCCCTTTCTCTCTGCTTTTTTTTTTCTTTCTTGCCCTCCTTATTATCTATTTTAAATTCCTTTCTGTTTTTATTCAGGAGAGTCTCTGGCACTCCTTCCTTTTTAGGGGAGGGAGGGATAGCTCAGTGGTTTGAGCATTGGCCTGCTAAACCCAGGGTTGTGAGTTCAATCCTTGAGGGGTCCATTTAGGGATCTGGGGCAAAAATTGAGGATTGTTCCTGCTTTGAGCAACGGGTTGGACTAGATGACCTCCTGAGGTCCCTTCCAACCCTGATATTCTATGATCCAGGGCAACAAAAATGATTGGGGGCTGGGGCACATGGCTTACAAGGAGAGGCTGAGGGAACTGGGGTTATTTAGTCTGGAGAAGAGTGAGGGGGGATTTGATAGCAGCCTTCAAATACCTGAAGGGAGGTTCCAAAAAGGATGGAGCTAGGCTGTTCTCAGTGGTGACAGATGACAGAACAAGGAGTAATGGTCTCAAGTTGCAGTGGGGGAGGTCTAGGTTGGATATTAGGAAACACTATTTCACTAGGAGGGAGGTGAAGCACTGGAATGGGTCACCTAGGGAGGTGGTGGAATCTCCATCCTTAAGGGTTTTTAAGGCCCGGCTTGACAAAGCCCTGGCTGGGATGATTTAGTTGGTGTTGGTCCTGCTTTGAGCAGGGGATTGGGCTAGATGACCTCCTGAGGTCTCTTCCAATCCTAATATTCTATGATTCCCGCACTTGTAGTCCACATCTCTCCCTGCACCTGAAGGTTTATATGGCCTATTGGGCAAGGGCTGTCTCCATGAGCTTGGATTATGAGCTCTTTGCTTAAGATACTTCCACAGCTGCATTACTGGCTACCTTTGGAGTATGGAAGGAGAGTAAGCAACTTTCAAGAAGCTACCTTTACCTGTTCTTTACTGGAGTATGCTTGCAGTGAGGGAGAATAGATCCAAGATCATAAGGCTTTCCCCAATTGGGGGGGAGGAATAGCTCAGTGGTTTGAACATTGGCCTGCTAAACCCAGGGTTGAGAGTTCAGTCCATTTAGGGATCTGGGGCAAAAATTGGGGATTGGTCCTCCTTTGAGCAGGGGGTTGGACTAGATGACCTCCTGAGGTCCCTTCCAACCTTGATATTCTATGATTCTAAGCCCACTGCCCAAACTCTGTCACTTTGGGATTGTTTGGTATCCTACATATCATTTTGAACAAACCACCTTAGTTCAGCATGCCAATAAGAAGGATCCCATGAAATGGATAGAATGTCTATTAATTTTGTAAAAAGAAAAGGAGTACTTGTGGCACCTTAGAGACTAACAAATTTATTTCAGCATAAGCTTTCGTGAGCTACAGATCACTTAATCGGATGCATTCAGTCCCCACTTTTATTTTCCACTGTATGCATCTGATGAAGTGAGCTGTAGCTCATGAAAGCTTATGCTCAAATAAATTTGTTAGTCTGTAAGGTGCCACAAGTACTCCTTTTCTTTTGCGGATACAGACTAACACGGCTGCTACTCTGAAACCTATTAATTTTTTGTTCATTGAACACCTTTATTGTGTTCAGAGATCAAAAGTGCATAGTGGCACACAGTTACTGACCCAAGAGCTTAAGTACTGAACTAGATGGATAACAGAACTGTTGAGACTCACAATGAACAACCAGGAAAAAGTGTGGTCTTGAAATCATGTATAGTAGTATTCCACCTTTTCAAAAAGGTGTATTATCAAGTAAATGCTTTCAGAACTGTATTTTAAGGAGGAATTTGAATACAGGGGAATGATTGACAAATGCACAAGAGGGTGCTTCTTCCGAGTGTAGGGGACAGCTTATCTGAAGTAAATGAGGTACCAAAGGGGTGGTTTAGAGCAAGAATTAGAAGCGAACAGAGCAATTGTAACTGACACTTATTTGCAGGTTTTTAACAAACAAAAGAAATTAACTTTGTGTGACTCATAACAATAGTGTTTCTTCTGCTGACTCCGCAGCATCAGTTACATCAGAATTGCTACCTGAGATCATTGATGTGTTCTGGAAGTCTGGCATCCTCTGCAGGGTGGGGGCAGAGCTAAGATTGCAGTGCACTATTGTATATAGTGTACAGTAATGGTGATGTGTGTGCCGGAGGAGGAGTAGAGGGAAGGGACTGTAAATAGCTTCACTTCTCATGGCATTCCTTTTGCGCTATGTATGCGGTGTGCAGCAGCCTTAGTGCTCTCACAATGAATTTTTTTTGGGGTTGTGTGTTCTGAGATACATTGCAAGTTTTTCTTATAAATGGTATTTCTCATAAACTTAGAGGTTAAAATATTAAATCTTGGGGGATTGAGAGATTTTTTGTTTAAAGAAAATTATACAAATCATACTATTTGTTATATTTTTTAAATATCAGAAGGTTTGATTATGGCTCAACATGTATTATCTTTTCATTCCAGGGAATTGTGGGGAATTTAGCTAGTGGCAAGTCTGCACTTGTGCACCGGTATCTGACTGGCACATATGTCCAGGAGGAATCTCCTGAAGGTAAGTGGATATGCAGATGATTAAAAGCATGCTGATTTTAGTTCTTTTGCTTTCATGCAGTGCACTGTTAATTGATGTTTTAATATATCATACAGAAATAGTACAGTAAAAAAAATCATCATTGGTCGTTCTGCAATGTTGGTAAAAAATAAAGTATGCTTCCTTTGAACATTTGTCATAGTGGAGAGGCAACAAGTACAAATGTATACCTTTTTTTTTTTTGTAGTATCTTATCATTTTTAAATGCTTTCCCATGAAGTATTTGTCCATATGGGAAATGTTCTTAATCTCAGATTCATAAATTTCACTCATTACCCAATGTAATGCTTACTACTATGACTACTTCCATTAATTCCAATTTGGCTGCTGAAGGCAATTACTACCACCCTTGGTATTGGATGTATACAGGATTGGGCCCTTAAGTTTCTTGTACCAGAGACCATAAAGATTTTCAAATAAAACTTCTGTGTTATGAATTTGTTCCATTATTTTTTAGATCACTAATTTTGGGGCCTGGAGAAGAACAGGTTTTTTTTTGTTTTGTTTTTTTTAATTCTAGTTTTATGCTACAGTTTAATATGTAGTTCAAAACTTTCATTGTATTTGTTATTTTAATTTAAGCTTAGTCACTTGTACCATTTGAGACTATGTATATCATCGTAGCACATAATTGAGGTATATTTTTCACTAAAAATATTTTCTTGATTTTTATTTATTCTCCTTATGAACTTTAAATCCAACTCTGAGACACTGAATTTCTGGTTCCTTCTTTTCCTTACTGGCTGTTCCATTCTTTGCAGATATGGATGCAGGTAACTATTCATTCTCTTCATGGCAGTGCTTGTCTTGTTTTGAAGAGGGAGGAGACACCGCTTTTGTACTGTAGTGTTTTCCCCTTGTTTTGTGTATCATCTAAATTTGTTTTTCTTTTGATTTTCTTAAGTTTTAAGCACATCTCTCTCTGTCTTCTCCCTTTCTGTAGATGTCTTTTTAGCAGTAGTCATATGTAGTTTCATTTGTCTAGTGTAACACCTGTTTCAAATTAATGCTTGTTGTAGGAGGTTATACAGTTCAGAATGTTAGAGCATAGTATTCTTGAGGTTTTAACTAGTCTTTGTGGTTAAAAATCTGTGTGAGGCTCCACTGTGGAGTCGGCCATTTTCATGGGAAAATGCAATAGTGATGCAAAAATTTTCTAGATTTTATTACTTCACATGGAAGGGACTTAGGTTGCTTCTCTACTACTATTGATAGAGGTGATGTTTGAGGACCATTGTATAAGTAGGGGCATAGCGAGCAGATGGAGGGACGTGATCGTCCCCCTCTATTTGACATTGGTGAGGCCTCATATGGAGTACTGTGTCCAGTTTGGGCCCCACACTACAAGAAGGATGTGGATAAATTGGAGAGAGTCCAGCGAAGGGCAACAAAAATGATTAGGGGTCTGGAACACATGAGTTATGAGGAGAGGCTGAGGGAACTGGGCTTGTTTAGTCTGCAGAAGAGAAGAATGAGGGGGGATTTGATAGCTGCTTTCAACTACCTGAGAGGTGGTTCCAGAGAGGATGGTTCTAGACTATTCTCAGTGGTAGAAGATGACAGGACAAGGAGTAATGGTCTCAAGTTGCAGTGGGTTTAGGTTGGATTGCAGTGGGTTTAGGTTGCAGTGGGTTTAGGTTTAGGTTGGATATTAGGAAAAACTTTTTCACTAGGAGGGTGGTGAAACACTGGACTGCGTTGCCTAGGGAGGTGGTAGAATCTCCTTCCTTAGAAGTTTTTAAGGTCAGGCTTGACAAAGCCCTGGCTGGGATGATTTAATTGGGGATTGGTCCTGCTTTGAGCAGGAGGTTGGACTAGATGACCTCCTGAGGTCCCTTCCAACCCTGATATTCTATGATTCTATGATTCATTGCAAAAGGAGCAGCAGTTGGATTTGTACATGAACGCTCAGAAATCCTCTCCTGGAATGTTGGAAAAGGTGTTGGAAAGTCACTGCCTAGTACTGCCGCTTCAAGTGGCTATCAATAATGAGAAACAAATAAAGATAAATGGTGGGTAAATCCCGAAACTGAGAGAGCCTCACAATGAAAAGAGCATAATCGGTATCTCCACTGATTTTTATTTATTTATTTATTACTCTCATGAGCAGAAGGTAATAAATATTTGATTAGTTCTTTCAGGAGACAAACTTGTTTCTGTTCTGTAGAACTTTAATGGCACTCAGACCTGGAATATTTTGTTTTTCTTGATTCTGTGATTTGTTGCTCTGTTCTGAGCGTATTCCCATCTGTCCCCTTTGTCTTTAGGGGTAGTTATTTACTGTACTGTACTTGAAAGTGACATTCAGGCTGTTTTCATGAACAGGATTAAGTCACCAAATCAGAGTCGGATCATTTCTTTGCACATAAATGTAGCTGACAGGCCTTACTAATGGCACCATGCATTTTCATTAGCAGGTAAAATTGGAACAATTAAAAGCCATAATTCACCTTGTAAGTGATAGGGTTAGGCGGTCTGATGAAATCAGTACTTAGGAATTTAATTAACTCCGACAACCTGTCATTAGTAAACATCATGTTTGGAAATAGCTCTAGCCCCACATAATTTGTGACAGTAATAGTTTATCCGCTCATTTTTATATATAAACTATATATAGTTTATATTCTCGTGTGAAAACATACCCTGTCAGTCTGGGTCCACACTGGCAGTTCGACTGAATTTAGGCAAGGAAAGGAGCTTGTTGCTCCAAGTTCCACATTGGGATTTAGTTTCAAGCTCTATGCATAATAGTATAAGGGTTTCGGCTGAATTGTTAACAGTAATCTTCAGATTGGATGCTAATGTGAGGTGTTGCCTTTGCCTCTTGCTGATGACTGAAAAAGAATATGGGCTCTTTAAGTTGGACAAAGAGTAGAACATATCTGAGATGTTGCGGCCTATGGTATTTCTCAAAATAAAACAGGTTCTTATGTCAGTGCTATTTGTGAGCTCTTGGTGAGCGTATGTTGGGTACCTTGCTAGTTTACTCAGCAGCTGTACTACCAGTATCTACCTGTAATGTGCTTGGGATATAAAAGGCGCTAGATGCAGCCCCACACTATCTTTGTTCCCTTTATCATTTGCCTCCCAAGTTGCTGCCACCACAATAACCCTCATCTTCTGGTATGGGTCGGCTAAGTGCCAGACCTACTCTATGGCTTTCCAGTGTTTCTCACTATGCCAGCAACTGTTTCTAGTGAGCATTTAACCATCAGTATGGGCAATGTCTGTTTTCCTTCCACTTTCTTTGACCGTAAGTGTTTCTTCCACCCAAAAATACACTTGAACTACATCAGCATATGGTGCAAAAAACCTCTTTCTCATCACTTATCTGGCAATGCTTTGGATTTTTAATTCTAAGTGAAAATTATGCATTGAAAGCTGATTTATTTCCTTCAGTAACAATCCAAGAAATAATACAAGTACAGCAGGCTTTAATTCATTATACCAACCTCCCACTATGCATATATGCATACCCAGTGGGACAAGCATTTTCATTATGGAGGTATTCTGGTGTCTGACTTAAGAGAAAATAGATGTCTGAAACAACCTTGAAGCCAGAGTAGTGTCTGAGATTTGCAGTTACATCACGCTAATGTAGAAAAAAAGGGAGCTGATTAAATATAGAAGTCCTATTGAAGTTGTTTGCCTTCTCATAGTAAAACAGGGAGTGATTAGAAAAACAGCCACCAATCAGCAACTTCTGTTGTGCAAGTGGAAGACATGTAGCTGAGCTGTGAATATGTCACATTCAAACTGTCATCTTCACACCTACATTTAAAGAGTAGTTCTGGTTTCTTGAGAGGGGTGAACTGGAAACTGTTCTCCGTTGCCAAACTTGTCCTCTAACGATTATCTGTGGGTATGTTTACACTTCATTGAAAAACCCCTGGCTGGCCCATGCCAGCTGACTTAGGTTTGCAGGGCTCCAGCTAAGGGGCTGTTTAAGCTCTAGCCAAGCTCTGGGACCCTTCCACCTTGCAGTGGTCCTAGAGCCTGGACTCCAGCCCGAGCCCAAATATCTACACTGCAATTAAACAGCCCCTTAGCCCAAGCCAGCTGGCATGGGCCAGCCATGGGGTTCTGATTGCAGTGTAGAATCACATATTTGAACTAGTAAAAAGCTAATACCATGGAAGGAGTTTTTCTGCAAACATGATCTTATTGTTACAGAACTGTTCTTGTGTGATGCATTCCATTTTGATGATGATACTGTGCAGTTCTAGGTCTCCTTCCATTTGAGAATATTAAAATGTTTTGCAAACATGAATGAATTAAGCCTTGAAACACTGGTGTGAGGCTGGTACTGTTGCCATTTTATAGAAAGAGAAACTGAGGCATGGAGCAGATATATGACTTAACCAAGGTGTCACATACAAGAATAAAATCCAATCTCCTTACTTGTGTCATGGCAATTTAGAGAGGTTTTGTCTGTTTCAGCCTCCTTTTGAAGCTTCAAGCAAGTTAAATGGAAAGCATGATAAAATACTTCTCCTATCCAGGAAGCAGCTGTCAGCATGGGGAGGAACCCAGTACACACAGTAAACTGTGGGCCGTGTGGGAGGGTAAAGCAGGCAGCTGAGGGAAGGTAAACAAAGAATGTGAGATGCTCGGTCTGCCCAGGGTGTTTTCTAGAGATTGGAGGAGGGAAAGGAAGTAATAAGGAACTGTTAACTGGTTCCCTTTCTTTGGGACACAGGAAAGTGTAAGAGCTGGTGCTGAGAGGGAAGCCGGTCTCCTGCTGGAGGGATCAGAGACAGGATGAAAGATAGCACCAGGTTATGGCTGGCTACCAAAAAAAAAAAAAAAAAAAAAAATTCAAGATTAGAACACAAACACAATGGAAACTTCAAAAGCTGTTGTATATTTAAAGATACACATGCTTATATAAAGATATTTAAGATTGTAAATTCTTATAATATATGCTGATACTTAAAATTACCAGTACGCAGACATTACAAAAATCATCCTTTACTTAATTGCAGAGATTGGAGGTCAGAGTTCTTTTCCTCTCTCTGAACAGCTGATATCCTCAAGCAGCTCCTGCTCTGCTTTAATTGTATCAGATTATACACAGCAGTATTAGTACAGGACCCTGAGTGGCCGCACTTTGGTACTTAAATTAAGGAAATATGCACAAAATATTAAATTATATTTAAAACTCTAGTATTTCAAATGTTTTTTAATGGGTGAAAAAAAAAGTCCATAAAAGCAATAAAAACCCTCCTCTTCCCTGATTTGAAGTGAACAAACATAGCACCCATTCTTGCAACTGATTCATTTAGGCAAATACCTGATGAGGTCAGCAGGACTCTGTATGAGCACAGGACTGCCCATATGTGGGACAGTTTACAGGATGGGGGCTGTAGTGTGGATCGAAGTGTGGCACAACACCCATTCCCCACCCTTTACACTCTACTCCTGCTTAAATCTTTAATGTGACACTATAGAGAAATAACCTCCTACTCTGAAACTTTTAAATGAGGCATAGTTTTTATTTTCCAGGATAAAGATTTTTTCCCTATTGTCTAGTGTCTCCAAAGCTGGACAGGGCATGCAATGTCAGATTATTCAGCTTCCCAGTGGTTTTTTTCCCCCACCATTGTCTCCTTTTACAGATCACTGAAGTATTTCATCTTAGTGTATTTGCTTTGGTTTCAGGCACCTGTCTAGAAGAGTCACATGGTATCAGGTTTTATTCCTCTTTCCTCAGGGTTTCTCCAGACTTGGTAAAAAAGTGTAGATTTCAGTTTGTGGTAAACTTGAATAATGG